GCAGGCCCAGGGCATGCAGCTGACCTTAGTCAGGGCCACAGACCAGGCTCTGCTACTCTGGAGCACTTATGAGGGGCAGTGGGCAGCTTTGAGCTGCCCCATCCTCTCCAGTGAGGTGTCTACACAGCGCAGACATGGCTTGGGCCTCCTGATGGCCGTGTCCAGAGCCCCCTGTGGTTGAGATGCACGCTGTCCTTAGGGCTCTAACACAAATTGTCTTCTTCACCTTTGACACAGAGAAAGGAGCACCTGACGGAGCCCAGGTCACTGTGAGGACCCCACCCAGGGGCGTGCCCACCCGAGATGGAGCCCCTCCCACTCACTAGCTGGTCAGCTGCCTCAGCTTCTGTGTGATTGGCTGCTGCTGTACTGGGGGCGGGGGCGTGCACGCACAGGGTCTGAGCTTGGTGGAAGCGTCTGGAAGGTGGGATGGACAGGACAAGTGTACAGAGAAGCCAGCTGCATTCTGTAAGAGCTGGGCGGTGGACATGTTTGCTTCGTTTTGCGTTTGTGTCAGAGAAAATGTTCCTCTCTGGGGCCAAGGACAGCAGGGTGAGGGCAGGATGCTGAGAGGATCTGACACGCAGACACAGAATCCCTGACGGAAAGTGCACCATCAAGACGTGCTTCCTCCATCAGCATCAGCACCACATACGCTGGGCTCCCACCCCTGCCCGCCGGTGGGGCACGAACCCGAGCTGCAGACTTCTGTCCACGCTCGCTCTGTCGCGTTCCTCCTGACACATGCTGTGTTCTCAGTGGAAGGGCAGCAGCCCAGTGAGCTGTGGGTGAACAGCTGGGCAGGCCAGAAACTGCCTCTGCCCTCGCTGCACAATCTAAAGCAGCATGTGCCCAGGTGGATGCTGCCCGCCAGGGTCACTGCTCAGAACGTGAGATGGCATAAGCCGGCCCAGGCTCGCAGTCTCCTTCCCTGTTGGGCCATCACACTTCTGCATGCTGTACAGACGTCTGAAGACCCTCTCTCCCGCCCCGAGGCATTCATAACCATATTGCAATTTAAAAGGCAAACAGTGGAGAGGAGAGAGGTGCAAGGACAGCCAAGGCTGCGAAGCTGCTGTCACTCACCCATGAGATGTCATGGCAAGGAGAGGGACAGCTGCTCAGGGAGTGTCCTAACCGCGCCCACACTGGCCCACCCGGTCCTCCTGATCACAGACTTCCCAGCCCTGGTCTCCCCCAGCAGCCATTGGCTTGGCTTCTATCCATGTGTGTATCACCTTCTCTTCTGATTGAAATGTGGAGCTGCTTCCAAAAGGGAGAGGGGCCCATGCAAAACTTGACCCTGATTCCTGCCGGCCAGTGAGCACCTCACTCCACACACTCAGGCCTCTGCAGGATGGGGTGCAGCTTCTGAAGCTGGAGCACACCTGCATTCAGACCTCCAGGCTGTAGTGGGTTCCCCTGCAGATGGGGAGTCTGTTTAAGGCATCACCCCCAGAGCTAGGGGAGAGGCCTGGAAGAGGACCCTTCACAGTGATCGTCAGTGTGGTCCTCCGCCTGGTGACGTGGCCACCGCGCCCGGGTCTGGACTGAAGTTCCCTGGATGGCACTTTCTGGGGTTGACAGCCGTGGTGAGTCTCTGTCCCACAAGCTTGTGGTCCATGTTTGGGGACCATAACCAGTGGCCCCTGAAAGTGCTCTGGCAGAAGCTGCGGCCTTCAGGATACCCACGTGCCTTACATGACTGGTGAGCTGCAACACCGTGGAGGAGCAGGTGGGCCTGAGGGTGTGGGCGGGCTCTGCGTCATCACAGACCTCGCGTGGGTGGTTTGTGTAACACAGTAATGGAATTGTGTTTCGGCTCAGGAAAACCATATTGTGAATATATGTACCAAATAATATATTTGTGTACTGTATATTTTTTAAACTAAAAAAACTCTATTGTAAATGTATGCAAAACCCCAGTTGGACTTGTGTCCTTATAGCCCTGCATAGGCAGCCTGTGTCCCAACAGCCACACTTTGTACACGTCACCTGTAACTGTCAGTGCTGAACTCAGTGTTCACAGGCCTCCATGGGTTTGTACGGTGATCAACTACAGAATTTTACATATATTTTTGTATTGTGATTTCTATGATATATACCAGAGAATTTTTATTCACTTGTAAATCATTGTATAGTTTTAATTAAAAAATTGTTTCCAATCTCCAAGCATTGCCATTTCCTCCGCTTCCCCTCCCTCAGTGCGTTAGTGTTTGGATGCATCAGCTGTGCTGGTCACTCCTGCATCCAGCGTCTGTTTGTAAAACATGAACCCCTCTCTCCACACCACTAAGGGGTCAGGGGTCTGCCTTCTGGGACAGTCCACCATCCGGCAGCCTCATCACGGAGCATTGCTATCCCAGGAAAGAAAGCTTCAGAGTTCCAGGTGGCCACAGCACCTAGGTCAGCCACAGGTGAAGCTGCTTCCAGTGGTGGTGTGGTTGTTGTGTGCCGTCGAGTCACCTTGTGACTCATAGTGACCCTGTGTTCAACAGCCCTGAAGCCTGCCCTGTCCTGAGCCAGCTCACTCACTCCAACACATCTACCCTCGCTGCCCGAGTCACTGTATCAAAACATCTCATCCCGAGTCTTCCTCTCCTGTCCTTCACCCTTCCAAGCACGATGTCCTTCTCTAAAGACCGATCTCTCCTGGCATCGTGTGTAATGTGAGATGGAGCTTCAAAATCCAACCTCCAAGGAGAAACTTGGTTTTACCCTATCCAAAACAGGCCTATTTGTTTTCTTGGTGGTCTATAGTACGTTCAAGACTTTCCTCCAGCACAACTCAAAGGCATCAATTCTTCTTCTGTCATCCTTAGTCATTGTCCAGCTCTCTGATGCATAGCAAGTGATTGCAAAGACCCTGGCCTGGATCAGATGCAACTTACTCTGACATTGTTATTTCTCAGTATTCTGGAGAGGTCCCTGACAGCTTTACCTCATGCAATTTGTCTTTTGATTTCCTGACTGCTTGTGTCAAGAGTGTTGATTGTGGAGCCGAGCAAGCTGTAACTGTTAACAACCATCTTCTCCATCCATCATGGTGCTGCCAATTGGCCCAGTGGTGAGAATCTTTGTCATCTTGATATTGAACTTCAATCCATACTGAAAACTACAGTCCTTGACTTTCTACAGCTGGCGCTTCAGGTCCTCCTCAGTTTCAGCAATGAAGGTTGTGTCATTTACATAATACAGGTTGTTGATGAGTCCTCCAGTCCTGATGTCACCTTCCTCCTCATAAAGCCCAGTTTCCCAAATGATCTGTTCCGCACATAGAATGAAAAGGTGTGGAGATAGGATGCATCCCTGGCACACTTGTCAAGTGTGAACCTGATGAATTCTGGGACCTCAAACGTTTTCATTCAGGAGTAAGATGCTTTGCACTGGCCGCAGATGCTCCAGCATATGTGAGTAAAAACATTCATGGCTGATAATTTGCGGTAGCAGGTGGAGGACCACTGGCCTTGAGCTCCTGACACCCCAGTGCTGTCAGCCCTGGGACCTGCAGCAGGGAGACTGCTCAGTAGTGCCCTGTGCTGTTCAGAACCAGGGGCCAGTGTGTTTCCTTGAAAATCAGTCTGCGTGGCTGACTCATGACAGCACCTGGACAGCCCAGGAGCCTTGCCTTTCAGGGTCCACATCGCCCTCCATACTTGCTACATGTTGGGGACCTGGGACCTCCTAGCAGGCATGGTGCCTCCCACAGAGCCTGTGTTGGGGCTGAGTTTTCCGAAAAGGTGATTTCCCAGGGCGCATGGCAGCTGGAGCAAAGGGTGCTCCCTGCTTCCATGTTCAGCACTCGGTTCGTGGACAGCACCAGCTATGCTCCTGGTCAACTGAGGGGCAGGGGTGGCCTGTGGGCTCTGAAAAGCCTTGCCAGGGTTTCCCAAACCTCCATGACCTCTCAGAGTCCAGGGAAGCTTGAGGTCAACTCCCCTGACCAGAGTCGGGGCCCCCAATACAATGCAGCTTAGTGTCTTGGGGGCCTGTAGAGTCTGAGGGTTGGTGAGCACTCCAGCATAGAAACTTAGAAAGACCAGCAAGTCCCCAGGGCTGCCTTCAAATCCCAGGGCTTCAGCGCACACTGCAGGTAGTGGCCACAGGGCATGTGGCGTGGATGGTGGCACCAGGCCAAAAAGGATACGGTCCCACCCCCCATCCTGCACCAGCACAGCACTGTGGGCGGGAATCACACTCATCCTCTCCCATTTCTCAGAGGGGATGTAGGGCAGCGAACTTTAGTGCCATGACCTAGCCTCAGGTCGCCCAGCACCCCTTGTCCTCTGTCCCCACCTGGCTGGCTGCGTCCTTTTTGCCCTGGTCTGGGTTCCTCTGTCCTGCTCTGCGTCACTCTTGATGTCTGTCTCTCTGTCTGCCAATGTGTCCCTGTCTCCCTCCTGTACCTGAGCTTCCTTCCCACAGTGACCTGTAGATCGGGGACCAGTCTCAGGGGAACCCTAGGAAGATGAGAAGGTGTCTCCACAGCCCTAGCCCGCAGCCTGTGCCTGGCCTCCAAGACACCTTCCCAAGAGGGAGGCCAGGTTCCAGGAGCGAGCAGCCAGTTAACCTTGGCAGGCAGAGAGGAGGTGGAGCATGGCTGGACGCTGGTGACCTCCCACACCCTCCTCCCAAGATTCACTCCTGCCCCTCACTTGAGGGGTGTCTGGCAGGACCAGGCCTGACTGGCCGAAATTTGGGCCTGGGGTTGCATGCATGTGGGCCTACTCGTGCAGGTCTGTGTCCCCTCCCGCACTAAACAGCTAAGGCAGAGTACTCCCAGGTCAATGGAGGGGCAATGGGTGGGACGATGGGCGGAAGCTGGCCTAGGGGGGCGGGCCGAGGGGCGGGGCCGGGACGGCCCGGGAGCTGCGCTGCCCGCGCGCGCCCACTCTGCCTCCTGCGCCCCCACGCGCACGCTCTTCCTCGCGGGGACCCGGGTCTTACCCGCCGAGCCAGGCCGCGGGCCGAGCCCTTTGGCCCGACGCACAACGAGCAGAATGTCCTTCCAAGGCAAGAAGAACACCCCTCGGCTCACGGTGAGCGGCCCCTCGCCGGCGGCTTGGCCTCTGGACCCTCCTCCCGTCTCGGTCCCCAGCCTTGTGGCCCTGTCCCGGGCAGGCCTTTCCCACCCACCGGCTTCTTCCCGTCCCGCCCCGTCCCGCCGCCGAGGCCAGACTTGAAAAGCAGATGAGCCAGCCCTCCTGGTCCCAAGCGGCAGCCAGGCCTTTGTTACCCGCCTACGGCCAGGGGCGGGGAGACTCGGTGCCCGGCGCAGCCCGCCGTCCGCTCCCCCGGGACGCGCCGCGCGCCGGGGCTCTTTGTCCGAGACAAAGCGGTGCAGCCTGGCCACCCAGACGCTCCACGAAGCTGGGGCGCGCAGACTCCGGACAGCCGGCGGGGCGAGCGCGAGCCAGACCGTAATCAGACCTTCTCTCCGCAGCTGTCAGGGAGGGGGTGGCCGATACCCCTGGTGGCCGGATGGTCACCTGCTCTGTAAGGAGGCAAAGCTGTCTCCAGGCCTGGCAAAGGAGGTGGGAGGGCCGGACCCAGTGGGTGGGAATCCGCCTGTGCCTGGAGGGCGGGCGGCGATCTGGCCAGGCCACGCTGAGAGTTCTTCTGCCTGATCGTCCTCGGACGAGCCGCTGCCTGGACCGGGCCTGGTGCAGGAGGCCGGGAGATGGCCGAGGAGGGAGCCCTCACCCTGGGCTGGGTCAGCAGCAAATTTGGCTGTGTGAGGCGGGGGCGGTTGATTGGTTCTCACACTCTCAGATGAACCCCTCAAAGAGCATCGCCCCCCCACTCCAGGCTCTTCTGCTTCCAAACCCAGAAGGTTCCCCTTGATCGTCGAGCTGAAAACAGTCAGGGCTCTGTGGTGATGGAACCCAGATGCGCAGTCCCCCCACCAAGGCTGAGATTGCTGTGGGCAGCTCTGGCCACAGAAGACCCGGGCCAGGCTGCAATCGGGAGGGTCCTAGCTGGGTCCGCTACCACGCTGACCAGATGTTCTGTGCGCGAGGTCCACGAGGGGCCAGGCAGTGGGTGCCTGGGGTGGAGAGGGCCAGCAACTGCGGAGAGTGGTACTGGACACCAGAGCCACTCGTTCCTGTGACGGGCAGGCGCGAGATAGTCTCCTCTTTGTTGCTGTATGTTGTCTGTCACCACTGCCTGGATCTGGAGAGAAGACAGACGACAGACAACACACGGACTTGCACATGCGCGCGCCCGCACACGCGCACACACACGCACGCACGCGCAGGCACTCACGCATGCATATACACACGCACATACACCTACGCACACATGCACGTGCACGCACGCTCACCTGCACATGGGCACTCACATGCATGTGTGCACACGCACATACACCTGCGCATGCACACACATGCACAGTGCTTACACACCTGCGCATACGCATGCATACGCGCGCACACGCAGGCACTCACACACGTGTGCACACGCGTGCATACATGCACACATGCAGGTGTGTATACACATACATGCACACACTCAACGTGGACACACACGTGCATGGGCACGCACATGCACACGCTGAACCGCACGCACACGCTCACATGCACACGCACATGTGCAACGCGAAGTCTGTCAGGACTTTATGAACATTGGACTTGCGGCATCCATGACTTGGGCTATTTTTCAGATGATTTAAAATGTAAAGCCCCTTCTGTGCTCCAGCTCAGAAGCTGCAGGGGGCTAGGTGTGACCCCTCCACAGGGTGCTGTCTGCTCTAGTGGACTATGCACCGGAGGTACGTCACATTCAGTCCGAGCGATCTGGACTAGGTCAGGGGGGAGTGTAGCGTCACAGGACCTTACCCACGCAGTGTACCTCCGCTGGCCGGGGGCAGTTTATCCTCTTGACCGCTGGTTGCTGATGGAAGTCTAAAGGCCAGTATGGGTGCATTGGGGTGGCCTGTTGGCCGTCTAGGGGAAACCCTGAGTCCTTCTTGCCCAGGTCAGTTCTCAGGGCTAAGCCCAAGCTCCAGGAGAAAGCTGTGAGGCGTTAGTGCTTGGCTACCAGCCCTTATCACGCTGGCCTCCACTGAGGCCATGCCTCCCTCTCAGGGCCAGCGTCCAGCTCCTCACGCCACGCATCCCTGCTGGGCTAGCTGTTCCTGTGACCCTTAGTTCACATGGGGGGAGCAAGAGAGAGGCCTACAAACAAGCAAAGCTAGGCATCACCCTGATAGGTCCTGGCTCCTGCCTGTCATGGCTGCCCAGCTCCTTATGCCACCCTCTCTGGGGGGCCACCCTCTCTGGGGTGTAGCCCTACCATCACTCACCCCCACCCTCCCTGGGGCCCAGCCCCACCTCCACTCACTCCCAGCTTCTCCGGGGTCCAGCCCCACTCCCACTACCCTCAACCCTTTCTGGGACCCAGCCCCACCCCCACTCAACCGCAGCCTCCCTGAGGCACAGCCCCAACCCCAACTCATTCCCTGGTACCCAGCTCCTTTCCACATCTGTAATCTTGGCCCAAGGGCCATCAGCTCTCACCTGTACAACCCCAGAAACCGCTATGCAAGGGCCCCATTTCCACTAAACACAGTCATTCTCTCTTACGCTGCAGTCCGAGTGGATACAGACATGTCAGGCTGAGCGAACTCCCTAAGAGACCCCATGGAGCTCTGCCTTGCCTTTCCTCACAGGGGTCCCCCCCAACTCCAGGGTTCCTGCCCAGAAGGACCACAGCCACCGGACCTCTGCTCGGCCCTCCTCCAGGCAGCCTTACCCTCTCCCGTGCTCTCTGTCCCCTCACCTTTGTCACAGTCAATGTGCTGTCATTGTCCCTCCCCCAGATTCTCCTTCCCTGGGAACGGGGGGGGGGGCTGCCTCCTGTGTTCTGCTTTCATTCCCTGTAGAGACCTGCTCACGTCCACACAGACGCCCACACAGATGTAAGAC